TTTCCCTATTTGGCTGTTGCTGACCATTGGACAGTTCTCTAGAGTAATTCTTTTTTTAAACTGAGTTTATTAGGGGAAGCAGGCAAACAAGGCTAAGTTAATGTTCAGCTGGAGACAACAGGCACATCTCTAGCTCAGCAGAACTCCTCCTGTGGGGATAAACCAAATATGCTTAGGTAAATAAACAGAAGTAGCTGATGGAGGAAGTCTGGGCACAGCATCACGCGCCTGAGGTTTGTTCTAACTAAAATGTGAACTTCAGTGATGAGATCTTATAGGAGATGCTGCGTGCTCCTAGGTGCTTCTAGGTGATGCCGCAGTTAGGGAGGTCATCCTGGTTTTGTTGCCCGTGGGGGTGGGATGGAAGTACCTGGGCAGTTCTCCTCTGCCCCCTGCCAGAAACGTCCCGCAAAAATGGGGGGTTTGTGCCAATAGGTACGCTGCGTTGTAATACCGCTTTTTAAAGCTTTATTTTTTTATAGTTGATAATCATACTTTTAATGGAGTTCTTGCTAATTGCTAACTCGTATCTGAGAGCTGCCTTTTTAATGAACGCACACTCTTCCCTCTCGCAGGATTGAGTTCCAGAACAAGTTCTACACCGGCACTGGATTCAAGTTTCTCCCTTTCTCCTTCGATACCATCCGTGAGGGGAGGTTTGACGACTAAGGACCCCTCCGCTCGAGCAGTGTTAAACGTCGTGCGTTGTGGCTAGCCCTCTCCCCTGTGTCTGAGTTGCATGTAATCCTCCCATAGCGAAAATAACTTATTGCAGCACCCTCGCGTGTTACCACGGCGTCTCAAAGCCAAGAGCTTGGATGTTCTGGGGTAATGAGTGACACTGGATCAAAGAAACTTTTTGCTCCTTAAGTTTACCGCTGAAGACACTAAGTGCATGAGGTGTCTGGGTTTGGTGTGTACTAGTGTACTGCTCGTGTTGTGAATTCCCTGGCAGGCTTATCAGGGCAGCGTCGGAGAAATGCAGCTGCGGCTGAGTGGGCATACAAGCACGTGGAGAAAAGGCGTAACAACTTCAGCTTGCTGCTTGGGAAGAGCTCTGCTCTTTTTTTTTTTTTTTTTTAAGAGTTTTACATGTGGATCCTATGTGTCTCTGCCTCTGATTAAGCAAATTATGAGCAGTGGGCAGTTGATAAGCCAGGGCGTGTTTGTCCTCCCTCCAGGGCTTCCACATGTGCTGTGTTTTAATCTGACAAAAACAACGTCCCGTCCCGTGCAGGGACTCGGCTCTGAACTCTGGCTGGGGCTTGGGGAGCCGATACGAAGGGGCAGGACAGCCTCAGCTGAGTGCCTGGTGGCTCTCTGCTTGCCCTAGCGCTGGGGAAACACCTTGGCCTTGCAAGAAAGGCTGCTCCTCTCCTCCCCGGAGAAGAGACGCTCCTTTCACTGCGCACCTGCACGCTCGTATCCCGGGCAAAGCCCTGAATCCAGCAGCGCAGGCCCCTTCCACCTCTTGTTCCTGGAGGCAGGGGTGAGAACGGGGCTCGGGCACGGTGGCCTTGGCTGCCTTGCTGGGGCCAGGGGCGAGACGGAGGAGGGACGAGCTCTGGTGCAAACTGCTGTCTCGGGGACTGACCACCGGCAGGGGAACTTCTTGGGTTTCTTGTTTAAAACCGAAGCCCTGAGGCTGCAGAGTCCTCGAGGCGCATCCAGATAATGCCCACGTAGCCTTGGCATCAGCGGAGGCAGCATTCGCAAAGGTGGCGGTACCGGTGGCCTAGCTGTGGCGTACGCTCGGGGTCTAAGGAGCCCTCGAAGGGAGAACAGAGGCTGAGTCTTGCCAAGACGGTCCCACGGCAGCAGAGTCTCGGTGGTATTTCCCCATGGTGGCTGTTGCTTTTTCTCCTGTGCAAAATGTGAATGATTTCTTGCCCTCAACTCGACGTCGCTGTAGGAGCAGTGGGGTGTGTGTGTTAGTGCTGTGTGTAGCTGTCGTGTTTAGTTGTCACGGTGGATCTGAAGCATTTGTGTGTGAACAGAATAGAATGATAACGCGAATCATTGTAACCTGGAAGCAAAGAGGCAATGCCGCGCAGCGCAGGGCTCTTAAAATTGCGTGAGCAAGGCGCGTGTGCGCTGCAAGGGTGCGTGCACGGAGCAGGGGGAGCCTCGTGCCGCGCGTGGGCGGCTCCTGGGTAATCGCTGTGTTTACGGGCGCACCTGGCTGTATGTTTACAATGGCGTTTGCAGAACGAAAGACAAAAAAATCAAAACTTGTTTGCAGGTGGAGCAGCGGCACAGCCCCGCTGCCCCGCTGAAATGCATTGCTGTCACTGTGTGAATTAAACTAACTGCACAACAAGCGGTGCGGCCTCTTTTCTGCCTCGCCGAAGGGTGCTGCCGGCCACCCCCCTGCCCTGTCCCACGCTGGAATCCGCCTGGGCTCCGCTCAGCTTTCCTGCCCTGGGCCCTGGCGCCCTGATGGCCGGCACCACGGGTGAGCCGAGCCGGTTCGTGCAACGGGACTGGTGTGAGCGTGCCTGGCCAAAACGCCTCCGCGTTTATCAAGGCCTGGCTGACATCGTGAGCGAGGGCCGGCCGGGGCCGAGCAGGGGCCGCTCTGTCCCGGAGCCTCCTGCTTGCCCAGATAAACCCATTAACCGAGCGAAACGAGCGGTTGCGCAGGAAGAAAGACTAAGGCTGGGTTCAGGCGGGGTGCTGCGGACGCCCCTTCCCAGGGAGCGGGGCGAGCTCGCTCTGCCTGCCCTGGGCTGCTGCCCGGCGCCCGCAGGGCCCGTGTTTGCTCAGGCCTTTCCTGCAGGCCCGGGGCTGCCTCGCCGGTGTTTTCCGCCGGTGCGGGAGGAGCGGAAGGGAGGGTTCTGGGGGATTTGGCGATGGTGTTCCTGAGGTGGTTGCAGCCCGGTGTTTCCCGTCTCCTGATGTCCTGGGAGGGCGCGGAGCCGGTCTGTGCTGCCCTGCAGCCGGAGGATGCCTGCCCCTGGTCCTCCCGCACCCCGCGGAGGAGGAGACGGGTCCCCCGCTGCCGCCGGGGCCGGCTGCGTCCCGGGGCTGCTCTCCCCTTTCACCCCTTCCCCTGCCCTCCTGCACCGCTCCCGCGCGCAATCACGCGATTTCTGCCCGTTCCCGTGGCCCCGCTTGGCCGCTCTCCGGGGCCGCAGGGGCAGCCCTGGCTGCTGGCGGCGGGGCGGGAGCCCCGGTCCCCCCGCGGCGGGGCGGGAG